TCGATAACCCCTTCTTCATCAGCCATTGAAAACCAGAGAGTACTAGAGAGGTGTTTCATCCTAGTTTGGGAATCATCATCAGTACTCACTCACTGCCAGAGTTCGAACCCAGGACCTTCCGGTTAAAAGGCAGGCTAGTACGTCGTTCAGGTTTTCAATGGTTCTCTAACTGATATCAATCCGTGGTCAAACTCGTGAAAACAAATCTAATCCTTACAAACCAAACTCTTGAAAATTAATCTGATGCTCTCTAGTGACTTTCTACAGGACAGAGTTTCCTGCAGTTCTAGTGAGAAGTCGTAACCGGTGAGGTTCATCCAGTCAAGTGTGAGGATGGATGTCCCACTAATGAAAGTGGTTGGTGGTCTTGCTAAATCAAGAATCGGTAGAAGTTAGAATTTGTGTGCTAGCTGTCCATTGAATCGGGTCCTACTGGCTGAATAGTATACAGGATTGATTTATTTATAGGCCCTACAGTAGGCCAGAGTAGAGATAGTGGCTGTCTGGACCTGTTTCTTTTGCACTCAGAGATCCAGGTGAATTAAAACGGCCTCTAATGTTTGCATTGTTTAGTATCCAAAGGCCATTGATAATTTACTCGATATCCAATAGACGATAGTGAAAGATTCCTCAATGCTAGTTCTGTAGCCTGTTCGGACGAGTTGACTTTTTATATAACTGCGTTGACTTCACTAAGTTGGTCAAATCAAAATTCAGAAATATTCAAAATGAAGACAGAAATATGTATTTCAACCAAAGACACCTTTGAACAAGATTCTTAAACTGCTTATAAATAAGATCATTTGAAAATCAAGTGGTATTAATAAATGATGCCTTATAATTACCTAAAGACCATCAACAAAAAATAAATCTAGAAGTTAATTGGTGGATGGTGACTAGCAGTGGAATACAGGATGTGCATTTCGTCCTATTTGGGACTCGCCGTCTGGATGTACCTCATTCCGCAGGTCAACAGGAAAATCTAAAATGAATCTGTAAACCGAACGGTTATGAGATTGAAAGCAAGACAATAGGGCTTGTTTTTCCCCTTACTTAAATTCGCCTTCAAGAGGCTTTCTATTGTTCAACTGCAAGTTTGAACCTGTGAAGTCGACAAAGTTCAGAAGTACAAAGAAAGCCTTGCTAAGTTTTTCTGAACGATATTATTATTATTACTTCTTTTAGTTCCTAGAGGAACATAGGGCTTCAGCCATGCGTCTCCATTGCGTTCGGTTCTCTGCTAGAGTTTTCACCTGGCTCCAAGTCTGCCCACACGTTTTCATCTCCTCTTCACATGACCTCCTCCAAGTCACCCTTGCACTGACGACAAACTCGCCGCTTCCCTTTCGGGTTCCACTCGAGCAATGGCTTGTCTAGTGACGTCACTTGATGGTTTCCTAAGAGTATGGCCAATCCATCTCCATTTCTTCCTGCCTATTTGTTTCACAATCGGTTCCTGGTTGGTTCGCTCATTGCCAGAGATCTCTGTTGCTGATCTTTTCTGGCCGGCCATCTGATCTTGAGTATTGAGCGAAGACAACTGTTAATGAAGGTCTGTAGTTTGTTTGAGATGCTCTTTATGACGCCCTGGCCAAGTCTCTGATCCGTATAGTAGCACTGACTTCATATTGGAGTTGAAAATCCGGATCTTATTTTTGACGCTGAATGCTGTTGACCTCCACACAGACTTGAGAGTAGTGAAAGCTTGCCTTGCTTTCCCGATCCTTGCTTTGATATCCTCGTCAGTTCCGCCTGTAGTTGAAACGATGCTTCCAAGGTAGGTAACGGAGGTAGTTTCTTTCAGGTTCCTCCCATTTATGCTGATTGTTGTCTGTTGTTGTTGTTCTTGTCCAGGAATCTTCATCACCTCTGTTTTCTCTATGTTCACCTGAAGTCCTTGCTATCTTTGATGCTTCTTCTGCCAACTTGTTACTTTTCACTTGCATATCTTCCAGTTTTTGGGAAATCAGAGATATATCATCGGCGAAGTCCAGATCCTCCAAGTCGTTTTTGTGTGAGTCCATTTTATGCCTGTTTCCTCATTGCCCGCTGTTTGTCGCATTATCCAATCTACTGCAATCAGGAAAATCATTGGCGATAGTAGGCAACCCTGTCTTACTCCTGTCTTCACTTCGAAGGATTCCGTGAGCTTCCCGTTGTGGATTACTCGGCATGCAGCGTTGTCATACAACTGTTGGATGAGATGTATAATTGTCGGCGGCACCCCGTAGTAGCGAAGTAGTTGCCAAATCACCTCTCGATCGACGCTGTCGAAGGCCTTTTCAAAGTCGATGAAGTTGAGATAGAGAGGTGACTGCCCTTCCAAGTTTTGTTCAATGATGATCCGTAATGTGGCGATCTGATCAATGCATGACCTGTTTCTCCTGAATCCAGCTTGTTCTGGTCGAAGTTTTTCATCCAGGGCATGTTTGATCCTTTCCAGGATGATGCGGCTTAGTATTTTGCTTGGGATGGACAGGAGCATAATTCCGCGCCAGTTCTTGCATTGACTTAGGTCTCTTTTCTTTGGTAGTTTGAATAGGTAACGATTACTGCTTTATAAATAGCAAATGAGACTGATTGATTTATAAGTGGCGTATTCACTCGATCACATATCCAGTCGTGTTGAATACTGGTGATAAGTCGCACACTGTAGATAGATATTTTTCAGTGCTTCCAGTTCACAATAATGCCAGCCCAAGTGGATGAATGGTCAGTCAACCTGGTCATGTAACCTGAAAATCCCGGATTTGATCCCTGATGCGGTCGTACTGCCGAAAAGTCCCGAAAATAGGACAGAACAGCTATCCAGTGCTCCTTTGTTTTTAGTGATCTCTTTAACTGATTTTGGTTCATGAAGAAATTTAACAGTCAAAATCCCTCAATCCGTACTCTCTAACTGACTTCAGTTTATCATTGTTTTCAGATTCTCCGACTGAAACACCTGAGAATGGAATAAGTGAAAAAATCTGGGTCACATAACAACCCAAATCAACCATTTCCAAATTACCAACCGGTCATCCCCTCAAGTATGCTGTCAGCTAAGTGTAGGTTTCGCGCAAAAATCTCCAAAACTTTTGTTCTGTTGTGATGTTAATACATAATTCAAAGCGGTGTTTCCATCGGTACACTGACTACACAGAAACACCGCTTAAACGCAATCCAAATCGACATTAGTTAGATAAAAGGCTGACTTACTGTACATGAAATTCATCGATTAACCAGTAACTCTTAGGCTCATTGTTTGAACACCCCTGCAATACAGATTGCTCCTTGTAGCTTTAACAATCAACTATTTCAACACAAATATTCATTAGATAAGTAAAGTTATCCGAGATAGTTAAGTCGTGTGATTATTAATTTTCGGACATTATAATTAACCTAAGTAATCTAAAACCATGTGCGTTGGCGGTTCAGTGATAGAATGCTCACCGACCACACCTCATGTGGTTCACAGTTCGATTCCTAACTGCCGCACGCCTAAACCTCGCTTAGCCAGTAGCAAGTGCAGCAGATACGTAAGGTCGAGTGTAAGACTAGCAATCCCAACCCACAGAAATAAAACTTCAAAGTTGACACCTGAAGCCCTGTGTTCCACTGGGGATACAAAAGAACAAAAAAAATTTTAAAAACCAAAGGCGTGCAAAATAGACAACTACAAGTGTTTTTCGTGCGGAATGAATCTATCTATATGTCATATGTCTACTCAGCATCGCATAGCTGAAGTATCTAGAATGAAATATTACTTTAGAACCAAGTTTATCTTATGTCTGGAAATGTGTATCACATTAGAAGTGTGTATAGATTATTACTTTATCATTATTGTTCTTTTCGGTTCCTGGTGGAACATAGGGCCTCCACAGCACATCTCTATTCCATCCTCTCCTCTGCAGTCCATCTTACCTGGCTCCACGATTGCCCATAGTCTCTCATCTCCTTCTCACACGATCTCTTCAATCCCGACATCGGACTCGTTGTTTCCTATTCGAAGGCCTGGTCTGTGGTGCGATGTCACACTCAACGGTCCCTTCATCGTGTGTCCAATCCATCTCTACTTTCTTAACCATATTTGCTACCTTCGCAGCGTTTCATGCTGAGATGATTCTCTTGGGTCATCTTATCTTCAGTACAGAGCGAGGTAAGGAAGATGTTGCCAAAAGTCTACACCGTGTTGGAAACGCTTTTTACGATTCATCAGCCAAGTTTCTAAGTCACATTTAGAAGAACTCAATGACTTAACACTGGTATTGAAAATTCGAATTTTCTTTCTTTATGTCTCAGAGTGTAGCTGATTTCCAAACTGGTTGCAAAGTGATAAAGATATGTCTTACCTTTCCTATTCTAATTTCGACATCCTTATCCGTACTGTCAACTGTAGTTGACATGATGCTTCCTAGACAATTGAAGCAAGTAGACTCCTTCAGATTTCTTCCATTGCTAGTGACTGATGCTTGTTCTTCTAGTTGGTTGGTTATCTTCATCACCTCCATCTTCCCTATATTCGCTTGAAGTCCTCTGTGTACTAACCGCCTCTTCTGCCAGTTTTTTTTAGTTTCCACCTATAAGTGTTTGAGTTTGTGTGACATTAGACAGAGTTTTCCTATCAGCCCAATGTATTCCTATCTTCTCGTTCCCCACTCACAGCCATCCACATAATCCTATCAGTCCATCACAATTACAAATATCATCAATGGATATAATTCAGTGGTAACGCATGGTGCGCTGGGTAAAGTCGCCTACCTTATTGTATATTGTTGTGTGTCCGTATGCCTATACAACGAAACTCTTCGGTATAAAATCATAACACAAAGTACAAATTGTATACACCCCTCAAAAATTTACACCATGATTATATTTTAATAATAAAAAAGGAAGCCAATGAAAATAATAATCAGGGTTAGTGAACGGAATTACCAACCAGTCAAACAAGAAAAGAGTACAATACAATAAACAACTTTCTTTTTTGTCTTATCTACGAATAAAACCTCCCACCCCCACCCAAAAAATAGTAATTAAAAACCGGTCTTATAAAGAAATATCATTATACAATTGGTACCATCTTATTATATATTCTAATGGGAATTAATAACGATAACACCACCACCAACAGTGAGTGTTGTTCAACGTTAAAGTATCAATTTTTTCAACTCTGAGAGATTAAATGAAATCTAAGACGACTAACTGTACAAAATAAAAAAGGTTATAAAAGTTAAGATAATAAAGGTCGTAGAATTCAGTAATATATAACTAACTCATTATCAGTAAGTAGTACTGCTATGTTGTTATTAGTATATAATATCATATTTATTATATATAACAACACACTGTGGAAAGGAACAAGAGATCTATGAAGAAAAAGAAAAACATATCAATGTTTTTTTTTTCAGGAGATGTAAAATCCTATACATACAAAAAGAGAGAAGTGGACATGATACATCATAACCAGTCAAAGCACCGGATGGTGAGTAGTATATATATAAATATACTTGTATAAAGCTGGATTATACATCCTACATGATAGCCTATTCGTACAAATGAGATCTATTACATAACTATTGATTAAGACAATCGCCTTAACCAATGATGAAGTAGTGTAGATGTAGGGATGAAGACAGTAGTAGTTGGATAGTAGGCGCTAAATTTTATGGAATATAACAGCAACGACAACAACAACAATATCTTTGGATTGATGACAAATATTTGGGAGGGAAAAAAACAAACAAGATCTCTGGTAAGACAATGATAATAATAATAATAGTAGTAATAACAATTCTAGTGCGTATCAACACCTTCAAAAGGCAAACACTTTTCTTCATCAGCTAGCGTATGCCCATTGCTAAGTATTCCAGCATTGATTTCTTCTGGCAGGGGATAACGTGAAAATAAACTCGCGGCTACACTACCATAGACATCATCTGTTATCTGTTCAGTACCTGTCTGATTATTATTATTATTAATACTACTAATATTGTTATTATTAGTAGTAGCAGTATTATTGTTCTCATTTCTAGATATACTAATAATAGTTTTCTCCGGTTCCAAGTGGAGATGACGCCTACATTCAATTGGAAAATAGTCCAGGTAATAACATGCACCATTCCATATTAATGTTAGTGTTTGAACAATCAACATTGTTACATGAAATAGGTAATTTGACCAGGCTATAACAGCAATCAATAGGAGAATAGTGCTCAGGATTAAATTGAATGCAATCCAACTAATTAAATGCAATCTAAAGTAAATAAATAAATAAATAAAAACATAAAAGAAAGGAGTAAACAGTTTTATTTGAACAATAACACAAGAAAGAAAACAAAAAGAAATACACTCGTCCAGGAGTAACCAATCCTCTTTCTCTCTCTCTCTCTCTCACCAATTTCAAACATACACACAAGGTCATGAGTGGTGTATACCACTATAAAAATATCAGCAACAATAACGAGTGAAATTTCAGACAACACGATAACTAACTGACTAACTAACTAACTAACCGACCAACAGAAATCAATAGAAGTTCTTACTCCTTTTTTCTCTCAATTGACACGATATCGAGAAGTATAACGTGTACTTAATAATGTGGTAGGAAATCACTAACACCACGATTCTGTCTTCAGGGATCACATTGTGGCGGTGCGACACAGATAATGTGTGCCAATCGAATATTGTTCTCACATGTTCCCACAGTTCAATTTGGCATTCACAAAAGAAATAAATTAAATGCCTACAAATTAAACTGTTGAAAGGAAAAATCTTATTGGTGCAAATTCTCTTCATAATTTTTAGACAGACGAAGAAGAATAAATGAGCACAATATAGTGGATATTTCGCATTTAGCCACACTCTCGTCAGCTGTACGCAACAGTTTTCATTGGCTTGTCAGTCCATGAAAAATCTTGACAGGCGTAGGATCTTGTGTTGTTTGGTGGTGTGATACAGACAATGTGTGTCAACGAAATGTTCCCGCAGTTCAATTCGACATTAACAACAGAATACGATATATATATCTATTTGAACATTCCATTTGATGTTAGAGTCAGAATGTTATTCCCAGAGTTCTTTACTGCATTGGAAACAGAATACTCTGTATATTTGAACATTCTGTTTCTTGTCGTTTGATGTAAACCGAAATCACACGTTCAGTGATTGGTTAGCGAATATAAACTGTAGATCTATAAACAGCGGTTTGATGAATGAAAAATATGCCTTGGCTTCGGTGTCTTGCCTTCTGTTGTTACAATATGATGAAATCACTTGTCCGTCAATCAGTAGTGATCAATTACACGAACAAAACAGCCAGCATATTCGCCTTTCATACTTTTTTTATTCCTTTACGTTCCCAGTGCTGGAACATACAACTTCAAGCTAGAGGCTTGAAGTTTCGGCAGCAGTGGTGATTATTTTTACAGGATGGGATTGCTAGCCTCATGCCCAATCTTCCCTTTTTATCAGTTTTATTACTGGCTTGCCGAGGTAAAGGAGTGCGTCGTCGGCCGGGGGTCGAACCCCGGACCACTTCTGGCGTGGTCGATGAGCACTCTACCGCTGTGCCACCAATGCACAATTTAAACTAAATGGATACGTTGAACTTTAAGCACCAATAACGATTCATCAACAAATGACCTTGAATGCACCAATCACATGAAGAAGGCAATTTTTATGCATAAAATACATATTTTTCAAGAGTCGGTTTGTAGGGAATTGATTTATTTCCGGTTCGATCACGGATTGATATCAGTAAGAGAAACATTGAAAACCACGGGAAACTGTCCAAATATATTTGTGTAACTTGCTACAAATTTCTTGAGAAACAAATTAATCTGATGCACAATAGTGACCACCTACAGGACGAAGTCACCTGCAGTTCTAGTGAGAAGTCGTGACCAGAGAGATTCATCCGGTCAGGAGGGAAGACAAATACTAGCCAACGGTGACATTGGCTGGTACCAGTTGCACTAAAATCACGAATTGGGGTCAGGTTCCAGTGATTGAATGATCTACAAGCTTTCCTTGTAATCAGAAGGTCTTGGGTTAGAAACCCAATGGGTACGTACTGCCGAGGAGTCCCGGAATAGGACGAAACAGCTATCCAGTACTCTCAGGTTTTTCAATGGTTCACTCTAACTGATATCAATCCGTGCGCTGGTCACGAGTTCTCACTAGAACTGCAGGCAACTTAGTCTTGTAGGCGGCCACTAGATTAATTTTTTTTCACGAGTTTTGTAGCTAGTTACGCAAATATATTTGGACAACGAATAGACCTAATAAAGAAATTCACGCACTATTTGATTTATTCATAAAATTAGTGTTCGAAGGTAGTCTAGACTCAACCAATCAAAACAGTCGAGCTTACAGTTCAATAATCCACATGACCTAAGTGTGTGCATGTGTGTGTTTGTGTAACTTAACTGCACTTCACACACTTAAGCAGTTATAAATAAAATGAGTACAATAATTTACATATGACTACTTATACTTTAGATTACACCGTAGAGACCATGTGACTATGGTTACCAACAAAAATACCGTCTACTCGCCTAACACAACAGACAGTGAAACACTTTTAAGTGTTCTAACTTGTTTTTAGAAGCGAAATGAACAATCTTTTTCGATGGTGCTTCTATTTTCCAGAGATCCAACATTATTTGCTTGATAACACACTTTTTTCTAAATGGTAATAAAGATCCTCCCTAAGTTCTGATAAAATTTTACAACTTCAAGAAAGGTGCTCAACGCACCAACATTTAGACATGATATCAATTGCTAAGAGAAGTATTGAAGGAGTAGGCTTGAGATATCCCCAAAAGGTGTTCTCATTGTTGCACAAATATCCACAGAAAAACAGTATGGGATGGCCAATTGACAAACTTCTACAGTTGGATACCTATCAGTCGTAAAAGAGCTCTCATCATCTCTTTGGCCCACAGTTCCAGAAGAATTTGTTGCGATGACTGTTTAGAAGAAGAGCTCCTATTTCTCAAAAGCATCCTGACTCAAAATGGATACCCACCGCGTTTCGTGGAGAAGAACATTAAAAGCCAAAGCTAAAAAGGAAAGAATGCACTTCAGTGCCGAAGAAAACCCTTTATTTGAATCTGGATTTCAGGGGAAACCTACCAGCAGATATCCTCTAGTTCCCTGGAGAAGACTTTTCCTGTAGCAACTCTAAGAATGATATTCTCTAGCCGCCCACTACTGCGGAGTAACGTGAAGGACAGACTTCCGCATATAACCACTTCATTGTGAATATATCAGTCCACTTGCTCATGGAGAGCTAGGTACATAGGTCGTTCTACGCGGATCTTATCAAAACGTGTTAGAGAACATCATCCAGCATGGCTGTAAAGAGGAAGCACTGGTTCAGTCAGAAGCGCCGTTACTGAACACCTCGTCAATATCTGTCACAGCATCTCAACTGACTCGTCATTTAGAGTCATTTACAAAGTAAACAAAAATCTACCAAAGGCAGCTTCTTTTTACTGCAGAAGCCCTCATCAAATGCATCGAAAAGCCACAGCTGTGTGTTCAAAAGAAACTAGTCCAGCTTTTACAACTACCATGGACCTAGGTCAGTATTTTCCCTTAACCTTCGGTTTTTTGTTTTGTTTTCTGTGTGTACAGTTTCCTCTCTTCGTCTTCATTCAATTCATCTCATTTGTTTTTCAGTTATAAGAACAGTTATTTTAAGTTTGTTTCCGTGCTTCTCCTGCTCACATTTGTAATTCGTTTAGAATAACCATTTTAAAATTATATTTTAATCCTGTGTAATTTTTTGTTTCTAAGCCTTGTGTAATCCATATCAAGTTGAATGTGATTGTCACCTTTATTCGCCTTCGTAATTATGTGGAATTAAATAATAACTGTATCTATTAGGGAACCATTGAAAAACAGGGAGTACCGGGAATCATCGGCAGTACACACCCACTACTAAGGTTTGAACCCAGGACCTTCCGGTTACTCCCTGATTTTCAATGTTTCTCTAACTGATATCTATCTGTTGTCAACTCGTAAATACAAATCTAATCCTTACAAGCCAACTATTGAAAATTGTATCAATGTAAATTCATGCATTTAAATGCAATTGCACAGCTACTTTTGAAAATGAAATCACTGAAAAGATATCTGTTTGCTGAACTTTTTGTTCTTTTCCCTTTAATGTCTCGATGGATATTTTCCACAAATATCTTTATCATATAATTTCTTTACATTTGTTACAATGAATGACATAAAGGCGATAGTTTGTTTAGATCAATTAACAATGATTTCTGATACACTCTCAAGTGCAGTCACGATGTATCATTGAGTTTTATACAGACCGCTTTCAGATAGAGTCGAAAAATTTTGAAAGATTATACACCAAAGAAGGTAACATAAATATACTGATACTAAAATCAATACATATAGGTGGTATGAAGAATAACTGAATGAAATGAACCATAGAAATGTTGAGTTTTCTGAAAATAAAGAATGTACGTCGTTGTCAATAATTATAAGCTATTATTTCATGAACTGTACACACTTCAGCGGTACAAATACTAAAATTGGAACGATACAGCGAAGATTAGCATAACTCTTGAGGAACGATGACATGTAAAATCATGGAGTTCGATCACCAGCCGACGGACTAGCAAACCTCTCTAAGTCGGTAATACGTCCGACAAAGAGGGAAGGCTGGGCATGAAACTAAGAACACTATCCCGTAAAAAATAAAACCACTGCTAACGAAAACTTCAAATTTCAAAGTACGAAGCCCTATGTTCCACTCAGAGCTTAAGAGAATAAAATAAATTTCCAAGAATTAGTTTTCAGGGATTCTGTTTGTTTCAGGTTAGACCACGGATTGATATCAGTTGGAGAACCATTGAAAACCAACAGACAGTACTGGACAGTTGTTTCCTTCATCCTAGTTTAGGACGTGACCAATGGGGTCCATTCAGTCGAGAGTGAGTATAGAGTTCCCGCCGATGACATCGGTTGTTGGTCGCACTAAAGTCACGAATTGGTAGAAGTTAGAATTTACGGACCATTGAATTGGGGTCGCAGGGGCTGAGTGGTATACGAGCTTGCCTTGTAACCGGTAGGTTCTGGGACCGAAACCCAGTGGGTGCGTACTGCCGATGAGCCCTAAACTAGGACGAAACAGATGCCCAGTACTCCCATGTTTCCCAATGATTCTCTCTAACTGATATCAATCCGTCGTCTAACCTGAAATAAAATAAATTTTAAATGATTTCATGAAGAGTCGTCAACAACTTATTCTCAGCATTCTGAGAAACTTGATCACAATCCACATACCCTAAGAGGTTCAGACCAATAGTTAATGGCTCCATGAGTTGATGCCGTGTTTTGATCTGTATACCACCAGCTTTTTTTCTAACCAGATCCTACTTCAGTTGAAATCGCCCATCTAGAAAGGCAGTATGGCCTAACATATGCAACAAATACATGTTCCAGCCATTTCAAAATTACACTAATTGATTTACTATGCCTACTTAACACTTTAAGCTAAGTGTCAATATTACCCATCATGTTATTCCATCTCAAGTGAGCGACTGAACAAAGTTACCTATTATGAAATTCCTTAAGGGAAAGATTCTTTTCAGTGTATGTTAATAGCAATTTAACAGCAATATAACCGACTTAATTTAAATTTATCCACATCACTCACTTTCATCAATCATTTCGTGTAATATGATTTATAACAATCATTTGTAGGCTTCATGTACTCCATTCTTGTAATTTAGCTGATTGTTTTTAAACAATCCGCCTACATAACTTAACTAGTAAGCACTGTAAGTTTTCGAATGGCATGGATAGCTTAAAACTTCATACTTAAACTTGTAATTGGCAGCTGGATTTTACTGGATATATTGGAACATTTGAACTCCACTGCAAAGCTGAAGTACACTTTAAACAAAACAAGAATAGAACATATTTGCAGGATACAAAGAACTTATTTTTTAACCCACGGCTTTTCTTCAGCTGCTAACAGCCTATTAATGACATCAGTTATTATATATGTATAGATAATCAAGGAAACCAGGTGTATGAAATACAATGCAGTCTTAATGCACCGGCTTGTGAGAACAGATTGTATCTATTAATTACATATATTTTTGACTATACGTATAGGTTTAAGAAACTTTTAAATGAGTGAAATATGGTTGATATAAGAATACAAATTGTGCACTGTGCTAGAGTATAATTCCATCATGGGTACAATTTATTTTGATAAAGTCTCACAGTGTTATACAATAATATTTACTCATGACCACATTTCGAGCACAATTTATCACTGCTCATAATCATATCAAGGTACTCAAGGTACAACTTTCTAACTGCGTTTATATAATTCCATTATACTACCAATCAAATCAAGCGATGGAAAATAATGGAATTATATAAACGAAGTTAGAAAGTTGTGTGAGTAATGCCTTGATACGATTATGAGCAGTGATAAACTGTGATCGAAACGTGGTCATCAGTAAATATTGCTGTATAACAGACACTGTGAGACTTTATCAAAATATATTGTACCCATAATGAGTGAAATATCGTCGGGAGATAGTATCAGTCTTTCGAAGAAGTGTCTCATTCGCCAGTATGGTGAGTAATCTCTCTCTCTCTCTCTCTTGGGGATATTTACTTTCAATTCAGAAGTTGAGTGATAAGCTTTCAGACATCATTTGTAGATGATTTAGAGAAATTTATTTCTTTGATTGAGCACTAGTTAGAAAGTAACTAGTTCATGCGTTTAGTCCTTTGTTTGGTGCGGATGTGAATTCTATCAGTCAGTGAACTGACCTTACCAAGGACTTATTACCCAGCAAACATTAGGTGGTTGAAGGCAGCCAGCAGGACGCCTTGCCTGACCTAGGTCTGGTGCTTGTTGGTACTGGTCAACAAGGAGCATCTGCAAACTTGAAGGATTCGAATTCGTGTCACCCAGTACTACAGACAGAGACGTTACCACTGAGCTATTCGGGCTCGTGATTGACTGACAGAATTCAGCCTGCACCAAAAAAAACAACTAAACGCATGAACTAGTTACTTTCTAACTAGTTTTCGAACAAAGTATCTAATACAGTCTGCTACAGGAGACTAGTCACCAGTCCAAACAGCTCAGTGGTAACATCTCCGACTACAGCGCTGGGTGACACGGATTCAAATCTCAGAGGGGACATGAGTTTCTTCAAGGCTGCAGATATACACCTTGCTGATTGGTGAGTGCCAACAAGCACGAAACCTAGGTCAAGCAAGGCTTCCTTCAACCATCTAATAAATTTATTTCACCCTATCCATTGGTGTTACTGCATACCAAATAAAGATGCTGCAGTACTAGTTATTACTTCTGCTGTTATCATTAGTATTGTACTACAACTTGTTCAATTACATTTGGCAGATCTGTATTTGACTAGCATAAATATCTTATATATTATCTGATATACTGCTAAACGAAATAAGGGTGTTTAATTTACTCCAGCTTACTGTTAAGACAGTTAACTAACACCGCTTTCACATAACAAATAACCACAGAAAAGTTGAAAGCTGTTAGCGATTAAACATATAAAGTATAAGATGCTTTTAGCGATGAAATACACATCTGTCAAATGTAACTTATTCAAGCACTGGATGGAGGTAATGTTTACAGTAAATACTGCTCAAATAAAATGTACAAACTGACTCCTTTTGCAAAATCGATGCATTTTTGTAGTTGAAAAAAAAATAACAAATGGGCAAATAACCGAATGAATTTATCCCAATGAAAGTCACTCGGAGGCATATATTGTAAAAGAATGAAATCAAAGGATAATTTTCTATAGTTGGTTTGTAAGGGTTAATTTTGTTTCTACGAGTTGATCACGGATTGACATTAGTTAGAGAACCATTGAAAACCAGGGAGTATTGGACAGCTGTTTCATCCTAGTTTTGGGAATCACCGACGTTATTGGTTGGGGTCACGCTAAATCACGAATTGGTAGAAGTTTGAATTCATGAGCCATTGATTCTGGTTCCAGTGGCTGAATGGTATACGAGCTTGTCCTGTAAACGGAAGGTCCTGGGTTTGAACCCTGAGTACTGCCGATGATTCCCAAACTAGGCTGATGAAACCGCTGTTCAGTACTCCGTTCTGGTTTTCGATGATTCTCTAACTGATATCAATCCGTGATCAACTCGTAAAAACAAAGGATAATTAGAAAAAGTAGGATAGTGAAAGCTGAAGCAGTACAGTAAAATGTTAAGAGAGAATAATACTTACCGTTTATCAATATGTTTCCAAAAGATACGCCATAATATTTTCTTTTTATGTAAATATCGAAAGCTGTCCAGATATTCATCACTAGGTCTTACAATCCCATAGATAATAATATAATAGAGTACCTAGAACATAAAGCGTAAAATTGGTAGGAAGCAACAAATGATCACTTTGTAAATATACATCTAGTCAATTTAGTAATGAAACACTGAGATAACAATGTCAGATTCAATTGAAGGGATTACGGGCGCGGGCAGACGGCTTTCGCTCCTCAACAATCCAGTGGATAACGTTTGGATCTCAGTCGAAACACTGTCACTAGCTATAACGCAGGTATATCAAAATGAAGAGTGTTTTCGACTCCAGTGATAGCCACCGATTTACAAAAAGTTACTTAAATATATTGTTTTAAGAAGACCAATTAACAAAGAATTATTGTAGGAGAAAAAAGGCATTCAGATTAAACAGTTAATTGTCATGAACAGCATGACATACTTTTTTAACAGTTACTTGATTGAACACATATATTATTCACACAGTTGTAGAGGAAACAGTAAGGCGTATTTGTATATATATATATATATATATATATGGCCGACGCACTTCAAAACGTTGCTAGGCTATTATTATGCCCGATAAAGATAGAAGGTTAGGTGTGAGACTAGCAACCCTATCCAAGGAAAACCACTTTGAATGTAAAGGAATATATATATATAAAGGGTGACATCAATTACAGAACTATTTGGAAGTGAAAAGCTCAATATTAGCACTGGGTCTTAATTTGAAACCCAACAATAGTATTATACAACAATCAACGACGCAGTGAAACTAGAGTCAGCAAGTCTAACTAACAGCAACTTCGAAAACAACCAGTTTTTGTCAATTAATGATATGATATGATGTGATTGCCACTTTAAGGCATTGCTGAGTACTTGTTATTATCCATACTTAAGTGATTTCACAAAGTACATTTCATCTGAAACTTGAAAATTCCGTTTTAAAGTCTATGGCTAATGAACAGTGTAATTTTAACTAGTTGATTCTAAGATCATTTACTTTGATGGAAATAAATTGTACGCTTCCGTGGTCTCTATAAAAACACAATGGGGTTAACATATCAATTTAAAAAGACGTAGTTTCTACACGCGTAATCTCAACCCTTTAGTAAAAAGATAATATTGTCATTCATTCACACAAAGTAGACGCACTATACTCACACTGCTTTTATCCGAGTATAATAAAAAAAGAACTGAGTAAATAACCAGTTCACTGATAATAAAACAATCAAGTCTTAAGAATACCATTTAGGTTAAAAAGACACAATAAGTACGACATAACACAGTTTAATAACTTGGTGGGTTATAAGTTATGAAATGAGCTCTGAAGCTTCGTTGTAATATCAACTAAGGACGCAGGCTTTATGAAAACATACTTGAGATTGTGTGCATAAGTGATTTTGAAAATTATCCCGGAAATCTTATCTGCCTTAGTTAAATTGAATCAACAGACTGGATGATATGACTCTCATAAATTCCTTGGTACTGCTAAGAGTGAGAGAATGCACGTGTTTATAGCCTACGTCAGGTAAGTCTTATTCATTGCCTTGACGAGGTGAGAATTGTCCCTATAAAATTAGGAAAGTGAATGCAAATATCCGACACTTATCATCGAAATGAGACCCAGGGACTCTGCCTAAGGAAGTTGGTAAACAGTGATTTCAAACCAATGAAGGACCTGTCATGCAAACAAATGGTGTATGAACGTGGTTTGGTTGGCGGGAGCTATGTGTACACAGCTCTCTCTCTCTCTCTGTCTATATCTCTCTAGGTGCTGGAGGAAGTTGATCGGTGAATATTTGTTCATCTAACACGTGCAACACCGATACAAGAGATAACGAAAAATATTATTAGTAAAAGAGTCGAAAGATAAGAAATTATGTAATTATATAAACAAAATATGATAGTTATGTGAGCAATCTGAAACATCTGCATGAGCAAGAGAAACCAGCGATGCTCACCGCCGACTTTTGTAATTTCCAGTTATGCATCCGCTGAATACATATGAGGTAAAGTAAATGATGGGTTGTATTAGAAGCATATATACATATACCTGCATGTTTAAAGATAAACTGATTCACTCACTTCACGTAAAAGATGAAACAAAGAGGGAGCCGCAACAAGCCAAAACCAATCAACATTAGTATTCCAAAATAACAATCCTCGAGTGGCATGTGAATCAAATAAGTCAGTATACCACCACACTGATGTCTCTGAAGGATACCATCTGATTCTATAGACAAAAATAGTATTTAAAATTAAAATTTTAAGAAATTACGAGAATACAAAAGCTACTGTGGAACACTGATGTGTGGTGTTCTTGGTCAAGACGATGCCCTGACTGCAAACAAAAACCTGCGCATAAATTTGTTCACCTGATACTTCATCATACACATACGTTATGAAGTATATCATATAGTTTGAGGTTGAGGCAACGGAGACTTAATTACAGAGAAAAGCAAACTACATGGGAGTGAAAACGGAAACAGGATATACGAATATATGTATATATATATATATATATTCGATAGCGAATATCTTTACTATGTCATTAAATATAGAAATCGACATCACCACTGCATTCAGCTCACGACAAAGATTCTCCAATTTGCACACTTGTTCACTTGCTGCCTTAAAAGTATAGAAGCTGTTTTGGCACATAGAGATATAGCTTCGTCAGGTTTAAGACTGAATAAATCGCTTTAGGAGGGACTCATAATTTATAAATAAATATTTGTTTCAAGTTTTTTTGAATTGATAACTTCGTTTTCCCCTTAGAAATATTAGGATGGTACTAAAACAGCTGTGATAGTCCACTAGTGTACTAATATTAAAGTCAGCATATGACCCGAAATTGAATAACCAAAACTACTTACAAGAAAGAGAACAGAGCTGGAAGAACGTGTATAAAGCACGAAGTAAGCCTTTGGATATCATGGAGGACGAGTGCATTGCGGAAGAGAAACGTTCCTCCATAAGCATGAGCATTGGCCAGACCGAATTGAAACATCTGCATGATGTGTGATTGTGGCAAGATCCTTAAAAAATATAATAATATACAAATGTTCTCACCATATGAAAATCAAAGACACATAGTTAATAAAATAACATTGGTCCAACATGAACAGTAGATACTTATTTCTCCTGAATCCATTAACCCCGAAAGTGTAACACAATTTACCAGTAGTTATATCCTCGTATCAAAATCAGTATCAAGAACAGGATGGAGAAACTGTATAAAATGAGAGCAGGTTTGACTATTGCGAAGCACACTGTCGCCAAGATAACCGACATTGCTCCAACAAAGCACAGTTTCTGACACAGCTTCATCTTAGATGAAGTTATAGTAGCGGGAAAGGAATTACATTTATGGAAGAATTATTAAAACAAGTCATTGTAGGCGTATGACTACATCTACTGATTCCTTTCACCATATCACCCGCATATTAGATATTGCGCTTCAGACATTTGCGAGACAGTGACCCTACCGACAATTACTACTGATGTGGTAAAACATCTTGAATTTTATTACTATGTCCTGTGAAGTAATAAATAAGGGTGACAGAGAAGTATAAACTGCAGCATTAACTTCGTTGATGAAAACTTGAATGAGTTCTCTAAATTTTTAGCCACTGTTCTTGAGAACAGTGAAAAATGGAGCTAATTTCTCCATGCGCTTGTTATAATCCAGCTTTTTTAGCACTGTACAGTATACAGGCAGATGTCAAGCAGAGTTATTGGTGTTCAGTCCAAGTTTTGAGGTTACTTATCTGTCGATTGCGCTAGCCGTTTTTGTATTTTTTGTAAACCTTCAGTCTTTCCCATTATGGTAATGCAATTTTATTTCCTTAGGTCATATACGTGATCTTTTCCTTGGTAACATATTTACGCTTTTAAGGTATGTCTACAAGAAAGAACATTTTGCGGTGGTCTAGGGTATTACTATCCAGCAAAGGATAATATGTAATGTGACACCTAAAATCGGTAGTTTCGCAACACATACACCTACCTGGTCCCTGCATTACATCAGCATTTTTTCAAGCTCTTCGCCTCCTGTGTGTTCAATGCCCGTTGTGGCATGAAGCTAGCTGTTGCGACTCTAAAGAGGCACTTCAAACGTACTACATAGCAAGATGAAAGCAACCAATTCCCGGAAAACTGGGAAGAATCCTTGATGAACCATCACTTGGAAGCCGTAGATACAGTACGACTAGTTCCCCCCATAAATGTCTCTGCAGCGGTGGGACACCTCCATCGAATGTCAGCAAAAATGAAGCAAAAACACTATATAGAATGTGTCGCCCTTGAAAGACGGAGAGATTTTTTACACCAAAACAAATAATCCAACGATGGCAAACCTGATCCCTGCAACAAATCGTTCATTCTCTACAGGCTGAAACAGTGTGAAGTTTCAGGCCCCAAGGCCAGATGCTAGCACTATCTCGGTCTCATCAAACTATTTATAGAGAAGCTACCCCAGAAGATTCACAATATGCACTAAAGTGGCATATACTCGAACTCTACAGTAGGTTGGTCGTGCGTCTTCCGAAAAATTGAGTGAGACGCGGTTCTCAGTAACGCTGACAATCTCAAGAGATCGCATATCTAATTTTGTGAAAACTTAGAAGGCAGCACCAGAAATAAATGAACAGCGCAGAAACAAAGAGGAAATTCTCAATATTAAAGGTTTTCGCATAGGAGAAGTTCGGAGTTCAACTTTTCTCAAACCTCTGTGGGTGGAATGCCAAAGCATTCAACTGAAGTAGACGCTTGCTACGCTTTTGCCCGCAGTTTGTTTGACAAATTGCGTGAGTTTGAAGAAATGGTTGGCCTTAAAAGCCCGAAGGTTATCGACTTCGCGAGATTATGACTAACATTAGAAACCAACTACAAATAGCTTAGGTTTCAAAATTTCACAGTGCGAAGGGAAAATCGGCCGAGCAGCAGAGATGATGGAGAAGTTATTTGTTCACAGAAGTGTCTACCATTTTGCTAGGCAGAAGCTATCGCCCACTGAAGTGGATAATGAGAATTGTTGTGCTGCAGACTGAAATACAAAGAAAGAGTCGAATCGAATAACAAACTCGGTTTCCTCGATATTACAATGACCAGGAGAGATGATGGTACGATTCAGAGATCTATTTTTCGTAAACAAACATGGAGTGGACAATATCTTCATTTTACCAGTTTTGTTCCTATCCAGTATAAACGTTCCCAAGTGAAATGTTTGTTCCCAAGGGCCCGAAAAATATACACGAGTGACACAGTGATGGATGAGTTTCGACATATACATTCAGTTTTATTAGCTAATGGTTATCCGGAAAACTTTATCACTTGTCACAGTAAAGAAAGACCACATCTCGAAAAGACAGCTTCAGTACCAAATAAAGCTATCTTTATTAACCCACCACTCAAGGGTGATCAGATTATGCAGTAGACAGCTCAAAGACTCCGGTCAGCCATCAAACGCACATTCTACGCCGCATCTCTTTTCCTCACTTGCCGAACATTTTCTATCCCTGTACCTACAATTAAAGGACGAAATTCTGTGGACTCTACTTCAAACTGTATCTACAAGTTCACCTGCGGCTGCGGTGACACCTATATAGGTAGAACCAACAGAATGTTCCAATATCGTCGGAAAGAACATGTTCCAAAATGGTTACTAAATCACATAGAAAATCCCAATGCCAGTAATCTGAATAGAAATCCAGCATCATCCATTGCAAAACACTTATTAATGTCAGGTCACAAAATCAATATTAATTAATGACTGTTTCACAATTATTTCACATAACTCTAATTCAAGGTTGGTTACTGAAGGTGATGGAAGCACTTCGGATTAATCACATACAGCCTAAACTGTGTGTACAAAAATCAATAGACTTCAATCTTCGCCTACCCTGGACTACTTGACCTATCTAAATATGATTGGTCATTAGTATGTACTTTTGTTTTTATTTAACTGAGTAATTGTCATGCCATTTATTTTATTATTGTTAACCATGTTAGTTGTGAAGCGGTTGTAAAGAAACTACGAAATGATATCATCTCGCGAAATTTGTCTTCTTAATGCCTTATTCAAAGAAAGTCAACGAAAATGTAGCAGTATATCGCGATTCCGACTGCATAGAGAAGCGAGGGCTAATATATGGCATATCCCTTTTACAAAGTGGCACTACCTGCTTTACCTTGTCGATATTTGCGCAGTTTAGTTGATTCCAGTTGGGGCTGGTTTGTGTTTTTTCCAGGGAAATGCGGTTGGCATGATTTTGGTGCTTATTTGGCTCTTATTGGGTGATTTTATACGAGAACTATTGTTGATTATTGTTCCTAAGTATGGATGCATTGTGTGTGCTGCAGGACACTTAAATATATGGTTCGTGTAATAGTTATTTGGTGTACCAAGTATGCTTCGCGTATATTTCGGTGACTGGCTTTAGTAAAATGTCTTTGCAGCTTGGTGGCAGCCTGTACTTGGCCGTAAATTTTCCGATCAGCTGTTGTACATCACATTTCCGTTGCAGGAACCTGAGAACGTGGTTGATATCGAATTCGTGCTTCTGCACTTTTGTGTGGTGTTTTGGTTGCTAAAATTTAATGGAATCCATGGATACAAGCAATAATTGGTGTTCATATTTGGGCAGAAATGTCATTATGTTCTACGAACACTTACAATATTCGCGATTTTCTGCCAAAAATTTTAACTGAGTTAAACGCACACTACAACATATTCTAGTACTTTGCTGGATTTGAATTACCTAAACGTCGTTGTGGCCAGGTGCGTAAGAACATCTGAGGTGTCCGTCACTATGTCCTATCATCGCGTTTGCTATCATCGCTACTATCCTGAATCCACATTATATGCGCTTATACAAAGACAATTCGCAGAATCATCTTGGAATCATATAGATGTAGTGTCCAGCATTTTTGCTGCCTATATACACCACTATCATAAATATCGACTGACGTGGTCACACACTAATATGGACTTCTAGTAATTCTTACCGTGTTAAGTCGTTAATAACCAAATTAGTAGTGATGTTCTCGTGAACATTTTGTGAACCCGTCTTCTTTATTTTGACTACTCGGTAATTTCGGTGACCTCATGGGGTTCGTTTCTGAAGATAGTGGTTTCCAGTATCATTGATTTTGTATTCTATGTCAAATCATTAATAAATGTATTCCCTGTTGCTCATATGGATATCCTACTTGTTAATTTTGAACATTAACTTTTGCGAATGTTGTGAGCTACAGAGTTTGAGAGATTAGTGTCATGTGTCATACTGAGTAGTGCATTTAGAAGAGACATTTGCCTTTGAGTTATATTGTCGTTAATATGCAGTACATTCTTGTTGTCGTTATAAATTTATTAGCAGTAATTATGAGTACTTACATGTTAGGAGGATGGTGTATAATGGAGCACACTAGTGAGATAGTCAAAGGTTAGGACCATCCGTTGAAGTTGAAACAGATGCTTCCGCAATGGAAAACTGATACTTTGAAATTCGTAATATCATATAAGTGATGAAGCTATTGACACCGTTTACATGCGGATAGTTCAAGTTATACATTTAGAAGTAATAGTGACTTGTCAGTAGTTTAAGGGGTGTTTTGATTAATGGGAACAAAGACAGGACAGTGAAAGTGAATGCATGGATAAGCGATATCAACTGGCGGGTGTACTCATGTTTTGAAGTAAAACACAATCGGGCAAATTATTTCGAAGACAAGATAAACAAATAATGTACATTTCGTATAAGCGGGTAAGTTGACATGAAATGCATGCCATTTTTACAGACACGATCGACTATGCTACAAATTACAATTGTGAATTAGCATGGATTGGCACTTTTCCAAAAGTTCAAGTTGTTGAATTATAGTACCAGCAATGGGAACAGATTCTTATAAATGTTAATTTGTAAGCCCTTCATTTAGGTCGCCATCGAAGTTGAGCGATAACCCAAAATTCCTTCCATTACATGATGATAGTTATGGCCAATCGATAAACAACATATATTTGAGTGAGTGCTACGCCCCCACGTGACTGTACGCTATTTCAGGAAGAGAAAAAAATCCTGGGCAGCTGCAAAGTGGTATAGAATGCAATTATGGATAACACATTATTGGAAATATATTTAAAAAATGAATACAAGAAGCTATAGAGTGCTTGAAATGATAGTACACATTTGCAATGTATGATGCTAACCATATTGGTCTTACCATGGAAAACTATGACGTCTTCTATGAAAATGTAGTTATTCTAAAACATGTGTGTTGTTGTTTTTCTCTTCATCAGAGCAACAAGACTTTATGCGAGCGAAGAGTGTGAATGAAAAGAGTAAATTTCAGCTTTGATAAAGGCCTAGGGAGTTGAGATAAAATAGAGTATAATAGTGATTAGATAGAAGGATTGTCATGGAGTATATAAGTGACATTTCAGAGATAAGTGGCTTGAAGGATAACAACCTGTTGGATATGGTTACCTGTAGGATGTATGGCTAACTTGGCTATGGCCCATGGGGTAGCATCTTGACAAGAAACTGAGCAGGCTTGTAGATGTTAGGAGCAAAAGC